TTAGAACTGGATGTGGCATTGGTGCATGTATCACCACCTGATAAACATGGTTTTTGTTCATTAGGTGTATCGGTCGATATTACTAAATCTGCAGTACGGAATTCGAAGTATGTTATTGCACAGGTGAATCCACAAATGCCCAGAACATTAGGTGATGGCGTGATGCATGTGAGTGAATTTAGTGCTATCGTAGAGGTCAATGATGAATTGCCTGTAGTAGATTACAAAAGTAAAATTACATCGGCCGATATTGAAATAGGCAAACATTGTTCTTCAATAATCGAAGATGGATCTACATTGCAAATGGGTATTGGTGCTATTCCTGATGCGGTAATGGAGCAATTGGAAGGACATAAGGATTTAGGAGTGCATACCGAAATGTTTTCAAATGGTGTCATTGATTTAGTCAAAAAAGGGGTGATCACCAATCGGTTTAAGAAGAAGCATCGACAAAAAAATGTAACTACATTTGCAATAGGTTCTAAAGAACTATATGCTTTTATAAATGATCATCCTGAGTTCGAATTTCTTGAATCTGATTATGTAAATGATGCTTATATTATAGCAAAAAATCCAAAAGTAGTTGCTATTAATTCTGCTATCGAAATAGATATTACTGGTCAAGTATGCGCCGATTCTATCGGAACCTATCAGTATTCAGGGGTAGGTGGACAAATGGATTTTATAAGAGGTGCTAATTTATCGGTAGGTGGGAAACCTATCATAGCATTGTCTAGTACTACTAATAAAGGGGAATCTAAAATTGTACCTTTTCTCAAACCTGGTGCAGGCGTTGTAACCACTCGTGCTCATGTACACTATGTAATTACAGAATACGGAATTGCCTATCTATTTGGCAAAAACTTAAAACAACGGGCCTACGCCTTGATAGATATTGCTCATCCGTCACATCGTGAGGCCTTAGAACAAGAAGCATTTGCAAGATTTGGGAAACGATTTTTTTAATATATTATTAATACATTTATTGAGATGCAACAGAAAGACAAAAAACACATAACCCTAATTGGTGCTGGCATCATGAGTGCAACATTGGGTATCTTATTAAATGAATTAAATCCTGAATTTGAAATCGAATTTTTCGAACGAATGGATCAAGTAGCAGCTGAAAGTAGCGATGCATGGAATAATGCTGGTACAGGCCATTCGGCCTTTTGTGAGTTGAATTATACATCTGAAATTGATGGTCAAATTGATATATCTAAAGCTGTGAAAATTGCAACACAATTTGAAATGTCAAAATCTTTTTGGGCCTATTTAGTAAGTAAACGTTTTATTGAAAATCCTGAATCATTTATCAATAATATCCCACATATAAGTTTTGTATGGGGTGAAGAAAATGTTGACTTCCTAAGAAGAAGAGCTCACTTAATGCAAGCACATCCACTGTTTAGTGAAATGAGATTTTCGAATCAACATGATGTACTCCTTGAATGGATGCCATTGGTGATGCAATCAAGAAAGCCCGATGAAGTATTAGCAGCAACTAAAATGGATATTGGAACTGATGTTAATTTTGGAAATCTTACAAGAGTTTTATTTAATTATCTCGAATCGTTGCCTAATGTAACATTGCATTTGAATCATGAATTAAGAGATTTAGAAAAGATAGAAAATGGCCAATGGCGGTTGAAAGTAAAAGACGAATTAAATGATGTAAAAAAATACATCGATACTGATTTTGTATTTTTAGGAGCAGGTGGTGGATCGCTGCCATTACTAGATAAGTCGGATATTGAAGAAGCCAAAGGATATGGAGGATTCCCTGTAAGT